TTGGAGGTGTCAATAGTGATACACGCCTCTAAGATAAAAAAAGATCGGAGTGCATATACTACGACCCTACGGGAGCATAGGCAGTACGCCTACTTAGGAGGATCTTTTTAATCCAAAAGGTTGGGACTAAGTATCAGATAATTTTCTTGGAAAGAAATTTAGATTTTGATTTCATGAGCACATATATCTTTCCCTTGAAAATTGGATGGTTCATGTTCAATATTAGGACATTAATTTTTTTGACCTACATAAGGAGTTCTACTTAAATTTTACGTTTCTTTAAAAGTAAAGGGGAGCCCTACAATGAGTACAGGTCAGGTTTGGGGAGCACGAAGGATGAACTAGTGTAGGAGACTTTGGCCTTAAGTATAACTCGAGAAATAATGCATATTGGCAAAGGGACACCTGCTGCAGCACTATAAACTCCATCAGGGTTCACCCAAATTTTTTGTAGAGTCGACCCTAACAGCAAGACACAAGATTAGCCTGAGCCCCATCTAAACTATTATTACTACTAGTCAGTATTAGTTACACTTTGTAACTCCTTACATCGAATTAATGTATGTTAAATTCTAAATTGTGTTGTACATTTCTTTAGTCTTCATAAATGAACTTATACAAAATATGTTTGAATAGTCGTTTTTTATTAATTATTTTTCCTAGATAATTATATGTAATAACAAAATATACATAAAATTTATATTTTTCCATAGTTTTTCGTTTTTTTTTTTGGGCATTTCCCCCATTTTTTGATTTTATTTTTTTACTTTCCCAAGTTAGGCTGGTTAACCGGCCGAGATCCACGTTACTCACAACTACTGCCCATGGGCGGTTGACCAGCTCTGGTCGTGCAAGCTAACACTAAAAATTGATCATGAAATTATTATCCTAGAAAATCTCTAGAGTCCCCAAACTGTACATAAAAAGCTTTCTCGTGACACGTTAGATCTCACGTTACCTTAATACCTTTCGAAACTCTAAGAAATACTTAAACCTTCTCTCCAATCAAATTTACCCAAATAACCTAAAACCTATATATCACTCACTACGTCCAAATTGAGATCTCGGCCACCTCCACCAAACTCTATAAGATCCTCATCTAGTTAGGTGGCCTATCCTTAATTGTAGCTTAACACACATATATAATGCATTTTTAGTTAAGAGATTTTTTATAACCATGGGAACATGCTGTCAATTTAGTCAAAAAAATAATTTCAAAGCGTGCGCGTATAAAAGGTACCACCCTAAGAGTGACCAGAGTCTCCAAATCTTGGATGGTGAGAGATCCAAGTCATAAAGAACTCAAAATCCAATTTCCTTCTTTATTTTCATTTTTTTTGAAATAATCATCTAGTGATTCTTATATGGATCCAAAGTTTTCAGACTGAAAACAATCCTCCCACGTGGTAGGATTGTTCTCACGTGGGAGCATAGTCGATAATATATGAGTAAGTGTATCGTATTGTTCTCATGCGGGAGCATTGTCGATACTATATGAGTCTTTCGATGCTTTTGGGGGACGTTTCGAGTGAATTAACATCGTAGAAATGTAGATCGACTCGAGGAGATCGTTTTGATGTAAAATTTGTGACTTGGGGCAGAGTTTTGTCTATGGTCCAAACTTCTAGCCAAACCCACAAACTTGAGAATTTGGATCTTCGATTTAGCTTACCTTGTCATGTTTTTTGTCTTCATTTTTATCACAAATTAAAGGACAAGTCATTGTGATCGTTTTGCAATGAAAATCCATCGAGTTGGATCCCGTTTAGTCACTTCTTGATTTATGGACATCGCCAGATAATGAGTTTCTAGCTACTTGAAAACTATACCTTCTTGATTGTATTGGTAAGGTGTCTTCCCGGCCTTTATATTTAGCAAATAATACCTCAAAGCGAAGCCCTCTGAGTCACAGTCGCAATGAGTTTGACCTTGGACTTATCCAAGCTTGAAATTTTGAGATTTGGTCGTCGGAGCCACGAGATATCCTGCATAGAAAAATTCTACAATTTGTGCATTCCGGCCAAACTTCTCTCTCAAATTTCTCTTAGCCCTGGGATCCCCACCATATGTGCCACCTACCAAAGCGTTCGTCTTAATGAAGGAAAAAATATACTAAAGTTTGGTCTCGATCCACTTTAAGACAAAAAGAAAACAAGCATCACAAGAACTCCCATTTTTTAAAAATACAGTTATTATAAATAGTAACTTGTTCTTGATGGCTCATGTGTATAATAAAATCTTTATCTTTTTAGAAAAGCAGGATCTAAAAAGGTCTTTTTAAACTGAAATTTGATAGGCGGACTAGTTCTAGCTTTCTGAATCTATATGCGGTGGTGTCATGATCCCTAGAGGTCACTAGAGTAAAGTTTTAGCTATACAAATTTGTGAGTTGGGCACAAAACTGATTTTGCATATGTTTCCCATATTTGCACTTTGAATTGGACGAAACTTGAAGGTCGACCATAGAACATCATGGAAGGGCTCATATGCTTCTTTCGCGGCCAAGAGGACACCATTATCCTAAACCTTCAAAACAAGACTTATTTGTGCACGGCGCTGCTCTATTATTCGCATTGGAGAAATGATTGCGTAAGAAATATAGCAGATAATTATGCACCAGTCAATATGAGTGTTAAATGATACTCTACGTACGTAACAATCACCAGCCACCAAAGAACCTGACAATGAGCCATAAACTCCCCCAAGTGCCATAAATCAGTTCAAAACCACCAACAATTAATAAGAGTGACTGCCATAAACACGTCGTCTGATGTGACTCACAAAAATTAGTCAGTAACTCAACTTGACTCGAAAAAAGGTCGTCAGTCGTGAACACGATCTGCCATGTGACTGTCATTAACACGTCGTCTGATGTGACTCACGAAAATGAGTCGGGAACTCAACTTGGCTAGCAAAAAGACGGTCAGTCGTAAACGCGATCTGCCATGGGCTACGGATGCCTATGCGCTGATGTGACTAGAAAGTGTATTGCGTGCCTTTGGACATGCAAGCGCGCCTGCGTGCACTATAATGCTTTGTACTACGAATTTACTTGGGCTGAGGAAACGAAATAAAACAAAAGTAAACTGGCGAGAGAAAAATGGTGGAATTTGATGCAGTCTTGTATAAAAGATATGGCATTATATATAATGAGATCATTTATTTTTTATACGGTAATCATAATTATTTAAATCTATCTAATGTAAAATTTGATAGCTGTTTTAAAATTTATAAATATTTTTTTAAAATTTTAAATTTAATAAAATAAATAAATGCAACAACCAATTTCACATCTCATGAACAAGATTAATTGTAACCACTTTATATAAAAAATAAATGGATTTTATACTTCATCAAAAAGATATCCTTCTCAACCTATAAATCTTATTTTTATATGGATGGGGCCCTTCTAAAATTTCAAAAACTCCATTATATAGTGAGTAGGCTACCTCCAAACAGTATCTAGGCTCTAAACAATCAAATTAAAACCTACTTTCAAATAGTATCCAGAAATATAGTTTCAATATTGAAAGTCATTGTGATAGCATTAAAATACATTTTCAACTTTATTTATAAAGTGTAAAGCTTCATAAATAATGTAGATCAATAGATTTATGAAAACTTGAAAATTTTAAAAATTGATGGTAAAAAAATGCATTACAAAATACACTATTTTCAAAACTTGAAATCTATTTTTTTTTATGTCCAAACATTTTTATATCGAGATGATCAATTTGAAGATATTCAGGAATCAAAATAACTTCTCCCAATGAAATTTTCGAGCTAGGCCTCAATTTGATGGTTTAGAGCCTCTCTATAAACTTTTCCCTTGTTTATAGATTCAGTTAACTCCATCGAGGGATATTTTTAAACATTTGTTTGACTGTCAAAAACAAATTGTCACTATCAATTCAATTAGGATTCCAATATCATTAGCATGCCATAACCAAAGTAGAATATCCTATATTTGCCCTTCCACCACAAAGGGGCATACCCACAGAAGAAGAAAAAAATAAAAGGAAAATCTACAATCTCCATTGCTCGGTCAAATAGGGATTTTAGACAAGGACCCGATTATTAGCAGCCAAGCCTGCATATGTAGAAATGTGGATCTATTAATAAATCTATGTTTGAGATAGAGTTTTGGACTTGATTTTTAAAGACATAATTTTTAATATGGAGATCATGAATATCAAAGAACAAATAAATTTTAAAAATTTAAAATTATAATTATAAAAAAAAAAAAACATTTAGATTGATACTTTCTAATATTTTTAGATGGAATACCTTTTTTGTATTCATCTTTAAAATGGATGCTTCACATTTTTTAATCGCATATGTAGTCCTGCGGTCAAGCCGGTATGAAACAATTTTCTTTTAAGCAATTTAAAAAAAGAAAAAAAAAGATTGGTAACCATATCATCTATTCAGAAAACTCATGAATCGACTATCCAAATAGGTGAACCTGACAATGACTTTTCAATAGCCATAATCTGCCTCAATTTCGACCCAAAAAACTTCTTCAATTTCTCTGTTTTCTGCATAAAACTACATTTAAATTGTACACCATTTAATAGGTTTTCTCCTTTTGTAGACCAGTTGTATTCCTCAGACCTTAAATAATTAATCTCTGGTATTAAGGAAATGTTACAATAGTCATTACAAGTGAAATCTAAGGGTTGGGATGCATTAGAAAGTTGGAAATTTTGATATTGGATTTTGAGCCTAAGAATCAGATTAACTCATTACCTTTTTAACATGATTATGACCTAATATGTCCTAAGCAAAGACTTTTAATAATATTATTATATAATTAATTTTTAACAAAATTTCTCCCATACAAGCTTTCTTGGCAAAAAAACTTTAAAAAAGTAACCTTGGAGGAGTCAACACTGAGCTGCGTCCCGACACAAAGCTTATCCCTATAATATTTTATGGTGCATTTACCAATTAATTGTTAAATAATCATAAATGTGTTACAAGGACGACAATTCTTATTTACTGTATACTTTCTCTTCATTAAAAGTAAAAAAAAGTCCCAAGTCCATTGCTCTGCAAACACCTCCATAACCATAGCCATAGGAATTGGCCCTCCCTCTTTCATCAACAATGGAAACCGTGGACCAAACCTTCGAAGAATACCCTCCCTTCCTCCGCATCCACAACGACGGCACCATCGAGCGCCTCGTCGGCACCCAAACCGTGCCGCCGTCTCCCCTATCCGATGCCGGAATCTCCTCCAAAGACGTCGTCATCTCTCCCAATGTCTCCGCCCGTCTCTACATCCCTCACTCCGCCCTTTCCTCCACCAAAAAACTCCCCACCCTTGTCTACTTCCATGGAGGAGGTTTCATCATAGAGTCCCCCTTCTCCCCTCACTACCACCCTTACCAGGATTCCCTGGCGGCGAAGGCAGGCGTGATCATCGTCTCCGTGAATTATCGTCTTGCCCCCGAGCACCGGCTCCCAACTTCCTACGACGACTCATGGGAGGCTATCAAGTGGACCGTTGGTCTGTCCGACGAGTGGCTGAGGGACCATGCCGACCTCGACCGCTTGTTCTTTGCCGGGGACAGCGCCGGGGGCAATATCGTACATCAGATGGCGATGAGGACCTCACCGTCAGAGATAAGATTGCGCGGGGTAGTATTAGTCCATCCATTTTTCTGGGGACCAAATTTGAGTGATACAGAAAAAGAACAGATTGGGTTTGTGGACATGGTCTGGAGGCTAGTTAGCCCAGATGTTGGTATTATGCAGAGTCACTGGGTCAATTGGGAGGCGGAGAGGGCAACGCCATTGACGAAGCTTGGATGTCAAAGGGTGATGTTGTGCGTTGCAGAGCTGGATTTTTTGAACAAAAAGGGAAAAGAGTATTATGAGGCATTGAAGGAGAGCGGGTGGGAGGGGATGGTAGAGCTTGTGGAGACTGAAGGGGAGGATCATGTGTTTCACTTGTTTAAGCCAGACTGTGAGAAGGCCAGGGTGTTCATGGAGCAGGTCGCCTCGTTCCTTAATCAGGGCTAGTTGTGAGCCATCTTGCTCTCTCTTTACTGGGTTTGTTTCTTTTCAAGGTTTCAATCTGCCTCTTCCCCCCCCCCCCCCCCCCCCCTTCTGAATTAGATCTGTACTGAGTTTGTTTCTTTTCCAAGTTTGCCTTCTTTCCCCCTCCTGTAAATTGATCGTGTTATGCTGTGAAGCGATGCACTCTATAATTTTCTAGTCTTACATGATGCGCTTAAAAGCTCTGATTTATTATTTGAAGAACAATTGTTTCATGCGGGCTCTACCGCATTTCTCCATTATGCACACCAGAAGTATAAAGCAGCCATCTAAAAATAACTGTAATTAAAGATCCAAATGTTTTTTTAATACAATTATTATTTTTAATTTTCAATTTCATTTTTTTCCATATTCATGATCTTCGTGTTAAAGCTCAATTATATATGCTTTAAAAATCAAGATAAAATTATATTTAAAAAATATATTTATTGCCAAGCCCGCCGGCTAGCCGGATGCTCGGCTAACCACGTCCTTATGTGAAAAGGTGTTTCATCCACCATCAATTGGTGATGAATCACGCTTCAGTTCCCGAGTGATCATCAGTTCCTACTGCAACTATGAATGACGCGACAAAGAATGGTCTCAATTAATTTGGTCCGATAGACACATTTGTCTCGACGTAAAGGCCTTTCCTGGGCCATTGGCGATTTTATTTCCAGGAAGATCTTTTCAACAATTTGAAAATTTTTTCCGTAGCTCAATAGGTACGAAGTGAAATTTGTTTTTCCATATTTATGATTAGCTTGTCTTGGATGATGAATTTTTAAAATTTTGGATCAAACTCTTAGATTTTTTTGTTTGGAAGTGTTAAAATATATTAAAGGAAAATACACGAGTTAAGAAAATTAGTTCATGAGTTTTTTTTTTTTGAAGCTTAAAAATATAGGACAAATTGCATACACCTGTTATATTTTGCGTTATTATAGATGTATCAAATAGTTTTTGTTATTACATGTATATCCGTTTTCTTCTTTTGTAACGTAATTTTTTAAAAAAGATGACTTTACTTATGTTTAGATATTGAATAATCGAATTAAAGGGTTTTTTGGATGTTCAATATCTAAAAATAGGCTTTAACATTCACATTTCCATTTTCGGGTGTTGAATATCCGAATTGAAAGGTTTTTTGGATATTCAACATCCGAAAATATAACTTTGAATTTCCAAAAAGTCACTAGAATTTTACAGTCATTTTCGGATGATGAACATCCAAAAATATGATATTTTCGCATGTCTAATATCCAAAATCATTTTCGGATGTTCAACATCCAAAAATGTGATATTTTCGGACGTCCAACATCCAAAACCATTTTCATAAGGAATACAATGTATCGACATAGCGCTCCAATTCGGATGTTCAACATTCGAAAATGGGAATGTGAAAGTTAAACTTTCGGCTTATTTTTAGATATTGAACATCCGAAAAACTTTCTAACTCGGTTTTTCAACGTCCGAAAAAGGGTAAAGTTGCCATGTATAAAAAATTGCGTTATAAAAAGTAAAAAATAGACATACATGAAATAATGAAAACTATTTGATAAATTTGTAATAATGTAAAATATGACGATATTTATGTACTTTTTTTTAATATATAATAAGGGAAATGACCTTTTGAGACCCGTCTACACCCATGTGTGTAGGATCTTTAAAGATCACCATTAAATTTGGCAAAGAGCTTTAGAAAAGTCAAGTTCCACACTTATGTGATAATTTTTTTAGATATCTGTACCAAATTTAATGGTGATCTTTTGAAGTTGTATACACATGGATGTGAGACTTTCCCACACCCATGTATGTCGGACTTTAAAAGATCACCGTTAAATTTGGCACAGATCTCTAAAAAAGTCAAGTTCCACACATATATGATAACTTTTATAGATATTTGTACCAAATTTAATGGTGATCTTTTAGAGTCGTACACACATGGATGTGAGAGATTCAAAGGATCATTACAAAAATAGACTTTTTTGTTTTGAAGTGTTAAAATATAATAAAGGAAAATACAGGAGTTAAAAAAATAAGTTCATGAAAATCAAAGCCAAGATCCTTGGTTATGGATGCACCGAAAATGGATTAGTCTAGCAACTACACCATTCAACAATTAATGTTCAAAAGAGGCAAGCTAAATTATATATATTTTGTCTTTTTTTTTCTTAAAAATACGATTAAATTCGTGCGAGTTATTCAAACTCGTCCAAGCAACTCGCCTCGGAAGAAAATAAGTTATATTGCATCAAAAAACTTTCTTTTAAAAATTTTCCCCAAAGAAAAAAAAACATTTTTATACCAAAGTAGGCTTGAAGTAATTTCTCAAAATAATAAGTTTTGAGTACACCTCAAGTGTGGGTTATGGTTCTTATAAGTTTTGAGTACACCTCAAGTGTGGGTTATGGTTCTTTTTTACCGCTAGAGCTATTTTGAGTAGGTTAAGGTCCCAAATTTTGGGGTCTAAAAGTGCATGCAGCTCGGTTGTTAAGAGAACCCCAGCCATGAAAAATTAGGGGCCTAAGCCACAAAATCTTAGTCAAACGCCAAGCCATCCGACCGGCCTAGGTTCATGGCTACGCCGGTCCTACTCAATTTTGTTTTTTTTATTTATTTTTCTTTAAGTCTATTAGGCCTTGCCTAACCCAACCCCGATTGGGCCACGACCTCTATTGCCCAAACCAGGTTTGGGCCGCCCTATGGGACAGGCCAAGCTAAGCCCATCTCAGGCCCACCTGTACTAGCCCTATATGCATGAAGTATTTCTAATTGCGAGATTATTAAGTAGCCGTTTGGGTACCTGAAAATATATTACAAAAAATAATTACTACGAAATACAACATTTATACTGTTTGGATACATTTATTAATAAGGAAATTAAAATAGAGTATACAATATTTCCTCACATATCCTGAAATCTATTACACGCCAGGGCTGGGAAATTTTTTACGAGCGTTAATCTACGGCGTATGTCTAAATAAACAAAACTTTTTACGTGCTACTGCGTGCATCTTAAAAAACCATTTTCCCTCTCTCTTGCGTACGTCCCCGTTTCCCTTTCAACCTGGTAAGCCTACCACTTCCCTCTCTCTCAAGCTCCCCATCATTGCTTTCATGGAAAACAAATGTTTTATATTTGCCCTTCTGATATGGTCAGTCCTCTTTACTTAGCCTCTTTTCTCTGTCCCTCTTCGAGAGTCCTCTTTAGTCAGTCTCTGTTCTCTGTCCCTCTTTGAGCCTCCTTTCTATGTCCCTCTTCGAGCCTCTCTTCTCTGTGCTATCTCCTTACAACAAGCCTTGTAGGTAAATTATAATAATACTTAATCTTTTAGAAAAAAAAAAAAAGAATTTGTTTGGATTTGTGTTTATGTCAACATAGATAAATTATATTTTATTTTAAATTATAATGATTACTCTTTAGAAAAAAAAAAAGATATTTTGAGATTAGGGTTTAGATACAGATAAAGAAGTGTGATAAATTACTTACACATTGGCCTCCTCCAATAACTCAATCTATTTTTTAAAATACTTTACCATTTCACAATAATTTTTTTTAAAATACATCACCATTTATTATTCAAACTACAAGTTAACGATATTTAAAGGTTGTGACTAAAATAGTTGACTTAATGTTTATGACCAATATTAATTTACACTATTAAGTTATTATTATTTGAGGCATGACAAGCATGGTATAGTCATGCTATCTATACATATCCATTTCAGTATTAAATATGAATGCCTACAAAGAGGCCATTTATCTTTTGTGAATAGAGGTCACAATCGTTCTCAAATATTAGATGTCAAATTGGATGGCTTGAGGTGAGTCATGAAGTAATTTTTTTTTGAAATTATGTATTTATTCAATGATACTGATACAACCATCTGTTTTGAAATTCAAACGACAAGAATAATTGTGTGTAACAATTCTATATTAAATCGTTATGTTTAGTAAGAACAATGTAAGAGCAAATTTAAGGTGCAATGTAGACAATTCTATATTAAACCGTGTCAAGTAAGCGTAATATATTTCCCAGGTTGCATCTAAATATTACCCAAACAGTGACAATCCATTGGCAAGTAATGTATTACCTCACAGACAATGTATTAGGGGTTTGTATACTTGGAAATATATTATCAGTGAAATATATCATTGGCGTAATACATTACCTGCAAATGGATTGTCACTATTTGGGTAGTATTTAGATGCAATTGGGAAAATATATTTCTAATGTTTGGCTATGTCTCAAAGAAATATGTCTCAAAGAAATATGGGAAATGCATTACCAACCAAATATGAAAAATATGGTTATGTTTGGCTAACATGATTAGACTTTACTTTTAACATAATAAGTCATTGGAATAATATGATCAGAATAACATGATTATATTGTGATAAGCCTTATTTTTATTTATTTATTATAGAAGTATTTTAAATGTCTCTTTATATATAATTTCAAATAAACAATAAATTTATGATACCAAAATCAAAATCTTTATGGTACAAGTTAAAACATGAGAAGAAGTTTGATTAGTAAACTAGAAGGTTTGGTAATTGCAGTAAAAAAATTTGAAGCATTGGAGGAGACTAAAGAGCTATCTTATTTCAATTAAGGTTTTACTAATATCTTATGAGGATTATATTGTGTAAAATTTTTTATTATAATTGTATTGTGTAATTTCTCATCGATTACCAATTATTATTTTTATTTTTATATGAGCTGATGGTTTCAAATGAGTGCTAGAACCCAAATTGGGGATAAAAGGATGTAGAAAAATTTGTATTATCATTACAGTAGAAAATTGCCATCATCAAGTTCTTCAAATCAATTTAGATTTCTCCTACCTTCACTTACCAATTATTTAAAAAATTGTTTTTATATGAGAGTAAATTTTTTTGTTTTTATATGAGAGTAAGATGAGGGTTACAATCCAAATTGAGAATAGACAAATTGGGGATAGAGGGATGTAGAATTTTTTGTTTTTGTATAAGAGTAAGGTGATGGCTATAATCCAAATTAGGGATAGAGGGATGTACAAATTTTGTTATTATGATTGTAGTAAAAAATTGTTCTTCATTAAGTTTGTACACCTGTTTAAATCAATTTAGATTACCCTTTTCATATTCCCTACTTTCACTTTCTACTTACCTTAATAATTATACAATACAATTATACAAA